ATTAATAGCAGTTTAAGATTTCTTTATAAGCTCGTCCATAATCAAATTGACTCTCCGGCCTTGCTATCCAAACTCAGTTTTCATGTGCCATCTCGCGCTCCACGTAGATGTCCGGCTTTTTATTTGAATACGCCAAGATCAAATGTTTTGATCAGGTCTCCCATTTACTTTGTGTGTTCCAACTTTAATGACAGCATCGTTGAGGTAACGACTAAATCCAATGAATATTACTATCTAATATAAAACTTTTAATGTGCATACTTTAATGGTAGTCTAAATGGTAGTCGTCCTTTTCTAAATATTTTTTTTACAATTATTTACATTTAAATATTTTTTTTTTTTTGGTATGTTTTATGAACACTTTTATTCCACTTATATTGTCTATAAATGGATGCTTCTGTTGGGCAATAATGAATTATTATTATTATTACTGAATATGCTGCTAATGAAGTTTTTCTATTAGCTGTGCCCGACGGGTTATTTATATGTTGTCCTTTCTGAAGACGGGTTATGTTCAAAGTTATAAATTACTAAAAACTTTTAGGAGAATTGCGGATAATCATCACCGCGCCCGCGTTGTGTGTAATTACTGTTAGCATGTATATAGCTTGTAATTCGACAGTGAATAAGTATAATTATATCTTATCTCTCTCTTTTTTGATAACAATCAGCAAATTTGCATATGTAATTTCCAGAATGGATAAGAAAAAGGGGATGCGCAACTAATTTCTAGCTTTGAATCACAATTAAGTGTATTTGAGACAAGAATCCAATGGAATTATCATCGACACATACAACTTACAGCTTAGACCTCCAGTAATGCCATCTCTGAAGCAGATTTAACATCACATCAGAGCCAAACATTGATAACTGAAGCCTCATGACGTTTAGGCAACACGTACAACTAAGTGCTAAATTAACATCTTGTAGAAAGACCTACATAATGTCAAAAAAATCCATCCACTTTTCAAGATACGTAATACCCGTGCCGATCTTCAGAAATATCGATACTTTTGCTTCCGATGTCCGATATTTTGGATCGATATTCTTATATACGATACTTCATATTACTTTTCTTCTTTGTTTCTCTCCGCTGGTGCTAGTCAACTTCACGACCTCACATATGTATTTTAGGGTTACCATATTAGGGGATTTACTCCAAAAATCAGAGAACTATTGTTTGAATGGGGAAGATTTTGGGGATATTTTTTTCTGGGAATTTCTTTTGGGGAAACATTTCACTGGGGAGATATTATTATGTAAAATTCTATTAATGGCTTTACATAATGTACTTGTTATGTATTTATTTGTCTTTCGATTCGAAACAAATACCTTTACCTTTTGGGAACATACGAAAAATATGTCGCTCAAAAAAATATTTTAAGATTCAAGAATACCTAACAAATACTATGCCAATGGTAACAAAAATGGGGATTATTTTTGAAGAATTTTTATGGGATTTTTACATTTCGACTGGGAAAACTGAGCTAAACGACCTGGCAACTATGTTAGATTCGGTTTTGGGGGAATTACACACACACGACACACAGTGCCAGTCTTTAATGATATTATAACTTGAAACAAAACATTATTGTGATAGTGATGATTTTCGGCAGTCTGTTTCGTATCGCAAGGTTTCGATACTTGTGGTATCGATATTTTTATTCGGGTATTTTCTGAGTATCGATACTTCCTAAAATGATACGAATCGATTCATGGTATCGATACTTTTCGTGGATCAGAATATCCCTAGTATGGGTGCACTAAAACACAAAGCCCGTATGTAAAAATATGGTGGATGTGGTGCGAATTTTGGTGCCTTCAATAGCTGCGTAAAGGCTGGTCCAGACGCTACGTTTTGGATAACCTTTTGTCTGCGCACTCTTAAGACGGAATGAAAACGTTACAATTTTAGGGCGTCGATCAGTTTCAGCATGATGTCTTGTTAAAAAAAAAGAGACTGGAACGTCTCAGGGCTGATCTATACTTTAGCGCATATTGCAAATATTTCATTTCTTATTTTAAAATGCAAGATTATGATCTAAAGGTAAGTACTCACTTGGAGACCACGTTGCGCGATTTTCTTTAGGTGGTCTAGAGACCGTCTAGACTTGAGACATAGACATGGTGTAGAGACACCGCTCTTTGCGTCGTCTAGCGTCCACACTGTGATGTGAATTTTTCTAGTCTCATCTTCGCCAACCACCATGGCGGACCTTGCTTTGTGCGCAATGAGTGCCTGTTTAGTAATACTTTCCAGTAAAAAAGCGCGAAAACGTAAAAAACAGCAGAGACCGCATGCGCTTGTTTACAAAGCGAGAGAGGGACTGGGAAATGTCTCGTCTATAGACGCAAGATACTCACTATCACCTTGTTGCGCAATGTATCCCAACGTTGCATCAAGTCTCCCATTTCAATCGGGAGACTTGAGACCTGCGATTTTTAGTTTCGCAACCGCCCCGTAGACCGGATTTGGTCTATAGACATGTCTAAAGAGACATACTGAGACAACTTTAGACATGTCTCTGAGACCAAAATCGCGAGACATGACTACTAGTGAGTACTAGGCTTTACTAGTACGAAAATATCATTTTTTCTTGGAAAACCCCGCTTGGTATTTTATAGTAAGTACTTCAAAGTTGCATTTTGGGTGGTATTTCTGTAGTAGAATAGAATACTGCTTCATAAGCTGGTTTTTTCTTGTATACACGAAAGAATGCTCTAAATAATAATATAACATACACTGTATATTACTGTGACAATATTAATCGCAATAATGCAATTTTGCATCATTTTAATGATGAAAATAGATGATTATTAAGTAGTCATTTCTTTTATTTCTGATAATTTCCCATCACTACACCGCCATCACTGGCGTGCGTACGGATATTGACTTCGATATTTTTAAGAAAAAACTGGTACGCCAATAGTTTTTTGCCAAATAAAAATTATTTTTGAATTCGCCGTTCAATTAAAAACGAATGATCTCTGTTGAGTTGCTTTCCTTCGATGCGCCATTTTTGAGTAAAAAAATAAAAAACGTTCTATTGTCTATCTTGCCAAATTATTATTAACTTAATTGGAAAAATTAAACACATAATGGGTAATGAACAACAACTGACAACATAAACATGACATTAAAACCAACGAAATGATTACAAAAATTGTTGAAAATGGCCCCCTTCACTTAGTATGCATGCTTCCGCCCTCCTCATGAAATTGCGGACTCGTTGAAATATCCATGGAGTGTTTTTTGTTCTATCACAAGCTGCAAATATTCTTTCTCTTAATTCCTCTACAGTGTTAATGGGACTTGTGTACACTTTAAGATAGCCCCACAAAAATAAATCTAAGCTGTTGAGGTCTGGGGGTGTTGTTGGCCATTCTTGGGGCCCACCGCGGCCAATCCAACGATTTGGATAAACAGTTTGTAAATAATTACGAACTGCTACACTGAAATGCGCTGGTGCACCAACATGAATGTACCACATATTGTTTCTCACTACTAACGGAACATCATCAAGCAGCAAAGGCTGTTGTTGAAGAAAATCGAGGTAAGTCTGTCCGTCAAGTAGAATGGGCCAATAAAGTGTTTGCCTATAATTCCTGCCCATACGTTAACCGAAAATTGGTGTTGGAAATGGGTTACGGTTACGGCATGGGGATTTTCTTCTGCCCATAAATGATTATTGTGGAAATTCTGAATGGCATTTCGAGAAAAAATAGCTTCGTCCGTGAACAGAAGCATTGATTTCAAATTGCGGATTTTGTGTAATTTTTTGAAGATACCACTGACAAAAAGTCACAACGCCTTGGAAAATCAATGGGAAGTAATGAATGTACTCTTAAAATATGGTAAGGATATAACAAAAGATCCACTAAAATTCTCCAAACAATTTGATGGCAAATATTTAAGTGTCTAGCGATCTTCCTCGTACTCGATGTTCTTCGACTTCGTGCAGCACTGCTTCCTCAATTTCAGGTGTTCTCACACTTAGAGGTCTACCTTCAGATATTCCTTTTTGGATAGAAGCAGTTTAAACAAGACGATGATGAATATTAGGAAATGTTCGACTATCTGGCAAAGCACGATCGTGATATCTCTGGTGATAAATCGGTCTGGCTTGCCCACCATAACCGTCGGCAAGGCCATATACGTAATGCATTTCCGCATTTGAATAATTCATCATTATTAACAAGATTGTAAAAACTAAATAATGAAAAAGATGTCGCAACGAACAAATTTGAATATTTTTTGCTAAATTGCATTCTTCAATTATTAAATTAATTTTCTGGACCATAGAACGGCTTTTATTTTTTTACTCAAAAATGACCCATCGAAGGAAAGCAACTCAAGAGAGATCATTTGTTTTAAATTGAACGGGGAATTAAAAAATAATTTTTATTTAGCAAAAAACCATTGGCGTACCATTTTTTCCTATAAAATATCGAAGTCAATACTCGTACGCACGCCACTGTTAAAGCTAAACATTATTTTTGCATGAAAAAATATGCATCTTTATTAACTTTCACTACGTACTAAATATCAGTGAAATATCTGAAACTGAAAATATTAATTAATTTCCATTTTACCCCGAGTTTTTGTAAGGAAACATTTTTGGACCATAGTTTATAAAGCAAACTAACATTAATTTTTCATGTAGATTCACACCCTTAAATATTCGCATATCCTTAAGGAACACCCTGTATATTATTAAATGAAGAATGCATTGGCTGAATATGTTTGCCAGCACAAACGTACGTCGTTCTAGTAATGCTGCACTGCATCATGATGGATAGACGTGTTCGGAGAATAGTGGCTTTCAATTTATTAGAGCATTTGGTACTTGTATTGCCACCATGCGGATTTAGTTTTCAAGATGCGTTGATGATCAGCTTCAAAAGTAGAGTTATAACAGGTTGGAACCACCGTTCTTTCGTTGTTACAGAATAAAACGATACGCTGTTTATATTCAAGCATTTTATTGATTCAACATAAAGCACATACCTGTCATATAAAAATTATAATAAATACCCACTTTCATTATACACCAAACATGTAAAAATAAGAAATATGCTAGACGAGTTAAAATAAGTATAACATAGGTATACTAGCACAAAAAGTACAGAAAATAAAATTATAGCATATGTAGAATCCTTGAATGTATAAAATACAGGTTATATACAGAAAAATTGAACTATCAAAGGAGCCCTAATCTAGAGCAACATATACATGAGCAAAATATGTGTTAAAACACCATATGATATGAATATGAAGATGCAATTTGTCTATCCTATATAAAGGGTTTGAAAACAGATTTATCGAAAACCACTGCTTGAAAGGAAAAACTCCGAGACACGGCAAAAGATTTGTCAAGAGATACAACTTTTTAAGCAAAAACTACTTCACCCTGGGTCCTCCAGGGTCATTCCTTTAAAAATTTTAAATCATCGTAATAGCTTGTTTGAATGGTATTTCGTAGTCCTCTATTTTGACGTTTCATTTTTTAAATCAGTCGATTCGTTTTAGAGAAAATTAGAAAAATCCATATTCATCTTAATGACACACGAAAATATCACAGTGTTCAAAATGTTGTCCGTCAGGGTTTGCCAAATCTACAAACCGAATTTTTTCCGCATTCTTTTCATCAGCACAGACATCCTGGGCGAACTGTATTTATTGTTATAGCTGTTCAGTTTTTTGTTGCTAAGGGAAAGAAAGAATTTAATTTGCTGTAACTTACCTTTGTGACAATCTTGGGATAGTAAAAATAAATTTTTTGTTTCCGATTCTGAAATAGTTTACACACTACCCGAAAGAGTAGAAATGATTCTAATTTATGGTGCCCAAAATCAATGTGCTCGGCAAACTGTCATCACGTTTAACCCTATACATCCGGTGAATATAACCTCGCATAGGTATGTTTTGGACCTTTCTGTTGCAAATAAAAAACGTGATAATCAGAGAGTTTTGGAAGAAGCCGCCCAAGTGGGTGATTTTTTAATAAATCTTAATACTTCATTGCTCAAAATTGTTGCTGCGACCGGCTCTGAACACGCGGTCACTAAACTATATAATTTTAATCCATTCAAAATGAAAATATTGCAAGGGTTTACCGAAGATGATTTCGAGTTTTGTGAACAAATGACTGCAACGATTAATGATAATACCATTCATGTAAAGAATATCTGCTTCAAGGATGTACGCACATTTTATCTAAATGGATTTGTTAACAAACATAACTGCACGTATTGGAGCAATTGAAATCATCATTATTTTGTAGAAGGGCACACCCAGTACCTCCAAAAAATTAATGTATAGGCACGCATTTTAGGAAACAAAGTGATTGGGCCACTGTTGGAAAATACTTTCAATTCGCTTATCTCTGAACCCATTGAAAACCAAATCGAAAAGGATGGAAACCCTATACTTGAGGCTGAAATATATGTCCAGCAAGACGGCGCTCCTCCTCACTATGTTCTTCCGGTTCGGCAATGGCTAGACGACGAGTTTCCAGATAAATGGATAGGGCGAAGAGGGCCTATAGAATGGCCTCCTAGATCTCCTGATTTGACGCCATTAGACTTCAATGGGGTCATTTGAAATCTATTGTGTTTACTACCTAACCTGAGCGTTTGGATGAACTTCGTCAACGCATCATCGAAAGCTGCCATGACATCCCACATCATGTTTTTGAAAATGTCCTTAAGGAATTTTAACATAGCTCATATCATTGTTTGGCCAATAACGGGCAACAATTTGAACACTTATTGAAATAAAAAGTGATATTTTCGTGTGTTTTTGTTTTCCATCTGAACAAATTAAGATAAACAAAGATTTTTCTAATTTCCTGGAAAACGAATCGACCGGTTCGTAAAAATGACACGTCAAAATAAAGGACGTCGAAAGACCTTTCAAACAAGCTATTACTGAATACCCCTTGTCGTTTAAATTTTTTAAGGGGATGACCCTGGGGGGAGAGGGTGAAAGGGGGTGAAGTAGTTTGTTAAAAAGTTGTCCCGCTTGACAAATCTTTTGATGTGTCTCGCCGTTTTTTCTTTTAATCAATGGTGTTCGATTAATCCGTGGAGGGAACTTTTCAAATGAACACCCTGTATCGTTGAACGACACTAAACATGACTGTAGAAGTCTGCGGATTGATGATTTATCCTTAAGCTCCCCTCTCCGCCAGTTGAAAATAACCAAAAAGTAGTGGTCATCGTTATCTACCTGAAACCAAATACTACATTCTGGTACCTAAAAAGGGACCTGAAAGATACTAACGCCATCCATGAGACGGTAAAAGAACACAAAAATGAATTTAAAAATCTAAAAAATACTTTCTGCTCGGCTAATAACCAAAAAAAAAATTGTTTCTGCTACTGTCTCATAGATGGCGCTAGGTCATGCTATTTCCTGTTGTTGCCTCTGTGATACCTATTCTAAGTGGGTTTCTTCAAGCAATTAAAAAAGACTTTAGAAAAAATCATTTGTATGCTCTGCTACTGTCTCATAGCTGCTAGGATCTTTCAGGCCCCTTGTTGGGAGCAGGAATACGGTATATGATTATTATTTTATGGTTATTTTGCCAGAGTTACAAAATATACAATCCATAAAACCGAAGGAAAACCTCATATTTTGCTTTTTTTAATTATCTGTTTTGATATTGGATAATAGTATCTTTGCAAAAATCATTTCACTCATTTTCTTAAAGATTGTCTATTGATTAAAGACCATTTTATTTTTCACCATATATTCTCAAAACTGCTGGGAAATCTTGATCATTTTTTTAAAATGTGTGCCGGAGTTGTAAAAAAATAATAACTCAGTACAGTACCTGCACCTATCCAAGCTTTGTTTTTGCATATATTTCGAGTCGCTGAAGATGTTTTATCAAAGAAATTTGCTTTGAAACGTGAGTTTCTTAAGCAAATTTGAACGTTTCTTCATCTCTTAATACTAGTGTGGAAGGATCTAAATATTGATATATGCAGAATAGAAATCTATATTTCCAAATTCACATAAGTATCAATTTAAAAATTTTCCGAAAACCATAATTAGGGATGATTATTCTCCTGCCAAATTGAGCGGCTTATCCTCAGCCCCAGCATTTGAACTACTCTCAATGACTCCCACGCTTAAATCAGTCGGCGTATCAGACTCATTTGCAGTCATTTTCGAAAAACTCAAATCCAACATTCCAGACGATGCATAATCCATCTTCGGAACCTTCGGCGTTTTCTCACCTATCTCACTTTGTTTACTAAAATTCAAACCGAAATCAGTCTTGCTGGTATAAGGTGTTGGAAAATCTTGCTTAGCAAGTTTATTCAAAGAACTTATATAATCGCTAGCCGAGAAGTCTTTCATATACTTCGAGTAGTTCAAATCTGGCATGGAGAAGTCCATTTTCCCTTGAGTAAGATCCGTTTTTCCACCTTTGGTATCTAAGGAACCTTTTTGGCCACTTTTATGGTCCGACTTCCCTTTACCACTCAACGGACTACTAGTAGAAAGTGGTTGCAACAATTCTTGCATTTTAAACAAATTTGACTGCAAAAACATATTGTTAGCAGCTAAAGTACTGTGAGCCATAGGATCCGGTAGACCTAAGAGATTCCCAGCGCTGGAAAATTTAGCAGAATTGAACAACAAATTGGAAATATCCGTTTGGAGCATCAAATTCGAAGATAGTGTCATAGGTGGCAACAACTGACTTGCTTTACTAATGCTAGGGATGGACAATAAATCCTTTTCCTCTATGGAAATACCCAACCTTTCTCGTATGAATTTCCACAGAGCTGTCTCACTCTCGTCTCTGGGAAATTTCGAAATCAACGTTGTTTTCAACTTATCAATGAAGCAAGTGTTGTTGATAAACTTGTCATTGAAATTGACAAAATCGTTTTCCTTCTTGTAGTAATTTATGCACTTTTCCATTTCTTTTTTAATGTAAGGGTGCAATACAGAGTCATGTATAACACTGTACGACATGAGCATGGGTCTGCCGTACTCGTTGGGTCTCGTTTCTGGCGGTGGGATCACCCAGTACGCGATAATGCTAGATTCTAACGATGTGTTTTCGAAGTTGTACGGCGCTGAAAAAAAAAATGTACAGTTTAGAAAAGAAAACAGGACAAAGAAAAGATGAACAAACATTTTTTGTTTCGGAAATTCGAATTTCTTTTATTCAAAGTTAATACAGCGATTTGCACGGGCCAAAAGATTTTCGAATGATGATTTTAGCTCATTGAGCTTCCTTCAAAATGGTCGTCGATGGCCTCTACGTCGGCATACCGCTATTCATGAATGGATAAATAATGTAGTTTACCGAAGAGAAAATAGTCACACGGTGCCATATCAAGAGAACGTAGGAAGTAAAAGAGCAATATGGAAAATATCTTTCAGGATCATCTAATGCAAAAACCTCGTACTTACAAACAATAACTCCCACGCAGGGCGTATAACTATTATCGGAGACACCCTTCATCTTAATCTGATAGTCCAACTGTGCATCCACATCTCTCAATGTCGGTGCTGCCGCCGCAAATGGATGCGAGTGGTACCATCCGACTAATGTCAGTCGTTCCTTTTCGATGGTTCTCGCGATCTCCGCTTCGACTCGGGGAGCGTTCTCGCGATCTGCTTTTGTGCTACAGCACGGAAAGGCGTGAGTTATCTGCAGATCTGTAAAAAAATGGGATTACAATTGAATTGTAAAAAGAAACATTTTCTGATAAGTTGAATATCACAATTCCAAATTTAAACAGATAATATAAATAAGAATGTATGAAACAAACGAGAATAACTCACTTTAGGTTTTTGTTACTGTTTTATTGACGTCAGCAAAAATAATTATTCATATGTCAGCGAGTGGAGAGTGATAATGATGAATTAATATTTGATAGTCCACATCAAAACCATTTCACAGTCGGACATCTAAATATCAGATCCATAAATTCTGGATTTGACGAGTTCTGTAATTGATGACACAATACAATTTTGATATTTTTGGAGTTTCTGAAACATGGCTCAATCCAACTTTAAGAAGCGAGAACTTTTGCCTGCCTGGGTACAAATTTATAAGGAATGATAGGCAGTGGCGGAGAGGAGGGGTAGCTTTATACATAAAAAGCGGGTTGAAATATTCAAGGGTAAATGTGGAAATTAACTGTGCAGAAAACATAGGTATAGAATTTAAGATAGGTGGAAAACTTATCTTTTAGTTAATAGTTATCGTTCGCCTTCTGAGTGTCACTTATTTTTTAGGTTTTGTCAGTCTCAAATATGATTATTTATTATTGATAGGAGATCTAAATATTAACATTTCAAATAGTTTTGCATACACAAATCGTCTCAAAAATATAATTCACAGTTTTAACTTACCACAAAGGATCAGTGAGCCAACAAGATTCAATTTTTCCACAAGAGAGGCTAGCCTCATTGATATAATCTGTGGTAGTGAGGATCTTATCTCTATTGATACTAAATCATTGGCGGTTTCTCAAAATATCTCGGATCATAATTTAATTTACTCAGCCTTTCGAAAGTCAAAAATAAATAAATCACAAAAGACTACAATAATATAGAGTCTTTCTTAAATGAAGGGTTTCTACTTGCGTGGGAGGATATTTACTATTTAAACCAAATCGACCAAAAAATAGAAGTCTTTAATAAAAATATAGTAACTGTTTGTGTGAGCAAAAATATCGTTTTTACATTCCTACTCGATGACCAGTTGTATAGATTTGTTTTCGCGTCCGTTGCCAGCTCCTCGGGGTTCTTTCTTCATTTTTGCCTTTTTGTGTTTCACCGCCTTTTCATTTGCCTCTTTATTGTTTTTTTTTATTTTGTTTGAGGATTTTTAGGGTGTTCAGGGCTTTCTCCCATGGACTCTTTGTATTAAAGGGTCCAATGTATCGGTTTTATAATCGAGAGACTGCCCTTTTTCGTCATTGCTCTATATTGTAGAATTTCCTTTATTTATGATGTTTATTCATGACGAAATAAATATTTTGAATTTGAATATGTATGCATATTTTAAGATTAAATGCGTACGATGCATAAAAGAAACAAAAATGTAACAAATTCTTATAAATGCGGGAAACGTACATGTACAAACCGAGTACTAGGTGCATCCCTATAATGTTCTGTTTTATCAATGCCAATTTTACAGAATCATACCAATAGTTTTGTCGCCTTGGACCGCATACATCCGAAATTCCGATTTGGAAGAGTCCAAAAGTTATAGGCTTCTTTTGCTGAAAAACTCGTGTCCAGAAAGTTTTTTACACAAGCTTCTTTTAAAAACAACTGAAGACTCCGTGTATCAAAATTGTGATTTCTTTGGTAAAGAACGAGATTATTCCAAGTTATAGGCTTCTTTTCCTGAAAACCTTGTGTCTAGCAATTTGTTTACTCAAAATTGTGATTTCTTTGATGAAGAACTAGATCATTCCAAGTAGGCTTCTTTTGCTGAAAAACTCGTGTCCAGAAAGTTTTTTACACAAGCTTCTTTTAAAAACAACTGAAGACTCCGTGTATCAAAATTGTGATTTCTTTGGTAAAGAACGAGATTATTCCAAGTTATAGGCTTCTTTTCCTGAAAACCTTGTGTCTAGCAATTTGTTTACTCAAAATTGTGATTTCTTTGATGAAGAACTAGATCATTCCAAGTAGGCTTCTTTTGCTGAAAAACTCGTGTCCAGAAAGTTTTTTACACAAGCTTCTTTTAAAAACAACTGAAGACTCCGTGAATCAAAATTGTGATTTCTTTGGTAAAGAACGAGATTATTCCAAGTTATAGGCTTCTTTTCCTGAAAACCTTGTGTCTAGCAATTTGTTTACTCAAAATTGTGATTTCTTTGATGAAGAACTAGATCATTCCAAGTAGGCTTCTTTTGCTGAAAAACTCGTGTCCAGAAAGTTTTTTACACAAGCTTCTTTTAAAAACAACTGAAGCCTCCGTGTATCAAAATTGTGATTTCTTTGGTAAAGAACGAGATTATTCCAAGTTATAGGCTTCTTTTCCTGAAAGCCTTGTGTCTAGCAATTTGTTTACTCAACATTGTGATTTCTTTGATGAAGAGCTAGATCATTCCAAGTAGGCTTCTTTTGCTGAAAAACTCGTGTCCAGAAAGTTTTTTACACAAGCTTCTTTTAAACACAACTGAATCCTCCGTGTATCAAAATTGTGATTTCTTTGGTAAAGAACGAGATTATTCCAAGTTATAGGCTTCTTTTCCTGAAAGCCTTGTGTCTAGCAATTTGTTTACTCAAAATTGTGATTTCTTCGATGAAGAACTAAATCATTCCAAGTAGGCTTTTTTTGCTGAAAAACTCGTGTCAGGAAAGTTTTTTACACAAGCTTCTTTTAAAAACAACTGAAGCCTCCGTGTATCAAAATTGTGATTTCTTTGGTAAAGAACGAGATTATTCCAAGTTATAGGCTTCTTTTCCTGAAAGCCTTGTGTCTAGCAATTTGTTTACTCAACATTGTGATTTCTTTGATGAAGAGCTAGATCATTCCAAGTAGGCTTCTTTTGCTGAAAAACTCGTGTCCAGAAAGTTTTTTACACAAGCTTCTTTTAAACACAACTGAAGCCTCCGTGTATCAAAATTGTGATTTCTTTGGTAAAGAACGAGATTATTCCAAGTTATAGGCTTCTTTTCCTGAAAACCTTGTGTCTAGCAATTTGTTTACTCAAAATTGTGATTTCTTTGATGAAGAACTAGATCATTCCAAGTAGGCTTCTTTTGCTGAAAAACTCGTGTCCAGAAAGTTTTTTACACAAGCTTCTTTTAAAAACAACTGAAGACTCCGTGTATCAAAATTGTGATTTCTTTGGTAAAGAACGAGATTATTCCAAGTTATAGGCTTCTTTTCCTGAAAACCTTGTGTCTAGCAATTTGTTTACTCAAAATTGTGATTTCTTTGATGAAGAACTAGATCATTCCAAGTAGGCTTCTTTTGCTGAAAAACTCGTGTCCAGAAAGTTTTTTACACAAGCTTCTTTTAAAAACAACTGAAGACTCCGTGAATCAAAATTGTGATTTCTTTGGTAAAGAACGAGATTATTCCAAGTTATAGGCTTCTTTTCCTGAAAACCTTGTGTCTAGCAATTTGTTTACTCAAAATTGTGATTTCTTTGATGAAGAACTAGATCATTCCAAGTAGGCTTCTTTTGCTGAAAAACTCGTGTCCAGAAAGTTTTTTACACAAGCTTCTTTTAAAAACAACTGAAGCCTCCGTGTATCAAAATTGTGATTTCTTTGGTAAAGAACGAGATTATTCCAAGTTATAGGCTTCTTTTCCTGAAAGCCTTGTGTCTAGCAATTTGTTTACTCAACATTGTGATTTCTTTGATGAAGAGCTAGATCATTCCAAGTAGGCTTCTTTTGCTGAAAAACTCGTGTCCAGAAAGTTTTTTACACAAGCTTCTTTTAAACACAACTGAATCCTCCGTGTATCAAAATTGTGATTTCTTTGGTAAAGAACGAGATTATTCCAAGTTATAGGCTTCTTTTCCTGAAAGCCTTGTGTCTAGCAATTTGTTTACTCAAAATTGTGATTTCTTCGATGAAGAACTAAATCATTCCAAGTAGGCTTTTTTTGCTGAAAAACTCGTGTCAGGAAAGTTTTTTACACAAGCTTCTTTTAAAAACAACTGAAGCCTCCGTGTATCAAAATTGTGATTTCTTTGGTAAAGAACGAGATTATTCCAAGTTATAGGCTTCTTTTCCTGAAAGCCTTGTGTCTAGCAATTTGTTTACTCAACATTGTGATTTCTTTGATGAAGAGCTAGATCATTCCAAGTAGGCTTCTTTTGCTGAAAAACTCGTGTCCAGAAAGTTTTTTACACAAGCTTCTTTTAAACACAACTGAAGCCTCCGTGTATCAAAATTGTGATTTCTTTGGTAAAGAACGAGATTATTCCAAGTTATAGGCTTCTTTTCCTGAAAACCTTGTGTCTAGCAATTTGTTTACTCAAAATTGTGATTTCTTTGATGAAGAACTAGATCATTCCAAGTAGGCTTCTTTTGCTGAAAAACTCGTGTCCAGAAAGTTTTTTACACAAGCTTCTTTTAAAAACAACTGAAGACTCCGTGTATCAAAATTGTGATTTCTTTGGTAAAGAACGAGATTATTCCAAGTTATAGGCTTCTTTTCCTGAAAACCTTGTGTCTAGCAATTTGTTTACTCAAAATTGTGATTTCTTTGATGAAGAACTAGATCATTCCAAGTAGGCTTCTTTTGCTGAAAAACTCGTGTCCAGAAAGTTTTTTACACAAGCTTCTTTTAAAAACAACTGAAGACTCCGTGTATCAAAATTGTGATTTCTTTGGTAAAGAACGAGATTATTCCAAGTTATAGGCTTCTTTTCCTGAAAACCTTGTGTCTAGCAATTTGTTTACTCAAAATTGTGATTTCTTTGATGAAGAACTAGATCATTCCAAGTAGGCTTCTTTTGCTGAAAAACTCGTGTCCAGAAAGTTTTTTACACAAGCTTCTTTTAAAAACAACTGAAGACTCCGTGTATCAAAATTGTGATTTCTTTGGTAAAGAACGAGATTATTCCAAGTTATAGGCTTCTTTTCCTGAAAACCTTGTGTCTAGCAATTTGTTTACTCAAAATTGTGATTTCTTCGATGAAGAACTAGATCATTCCAAGTAGGCTTCTTTTGCT